GCAGCAGGAGGGGCCGTTCACAGCCCCAGCACGGAGCCGAAATCCAGCTGGAGACACCGGGCAGCGCCCGCCCGTCGTCCACTGCCGTCCCTCACCTTGCAGGCGGCGTCACAGGCAGCCACGTCCTGGCCCCCTCCGGCCCCTCTGGCCACCAGCTCCTCGTTGGTCACTTTGAAGGAGCGAACGGTTTCCTGCAGCGACTGACGCACCTCAGGGACAGCAGGAGCTGCGTCAGGACCCCCAGCCCCTCGCAGACCCCTGAGCTGCCATGGCAGGGCAGTCCCACGGGGACACTGCTGGCACATGGAGCCCCTGCAGCAGCACGGGGACATTATCCCACCCCAGGACCTCCTACCTTCTTGCTACAGCTCTCCCAGGACTCCAGGAGGTGGTTCAGCAGCAAACTGGTGGGGGGGAAGAGAACAAGGGGCTTGAGCAGGAGCTCCCAGAAGGAATTTAGGAGTCCCAAAGGCTCTGTGGGTGGGTGCTGGGCCCACATGGAGCTGTGGCATGGACTGACCTGGACTGAGCGAGGTGCTTGGTGTAGAGCTGCCTCCAGACACTGAAGCTCAGCGGGTCCAGGCTCAGGCACTGGCTCATGGAGGTCAGGAGCTGGGGAGGGGACACGGCTGGTTGTTACACCAACCCTCACCCCAGCACACCGAACACCCTGTGCCCCAGGCAGTGCCCCAGCACAGCCTCCCACACCCAGGGCACGAAACTCAACTTTGGCACCCCTGCCCATGGCAGGAATTGGAACTGGATGGTCATTACGGTCCCTTCCCACCCAAACCATCCCGTGATCCAGTGATTCCCAGCCCCTGGGTGTGGGTGGCAGGACCCCCGCCCTGCCATCGCCATCCCCGTGACAGCACGTGCCCGCCCTGCCCTGCTCCACGGCAGCCCCAAACCCAGCCCGTGCCCCCCCGTGCAGGGCTCACCTCCCTCTTCATGGCGGGCGGGCAGGTGGGCGTCGCTCGGGACAGGAAGGAGGGGAAGTAGGTGTGCAGGGCTGTCTCGGGCCGGGCGCCGAACGCCAGGACTTTCAGGCGGGGGTAGAGGCGCCGCAGCTGCTCCTGCAGGCTGGGGGAGAGCGGGGGCTGCCGAGGGGCACTGGGGGGACAGGGGGCACCGGGGCCCACCCTGTGGCACAGCCACGCTGGGGGACGGGGTGCCCGGACGGACCGGCGTACCTGGGTGACAGGGAGTTGTTGGGCATGAAGGCGAAGTCCAGGAGCGGGAAGAAATCCTTGGGGCCGATCATGCCGAAGCCTTTGGTGAGGTTGGGGTGCATCCTGCAGGACAGAGCCCTGAGATGCTGTGGGGGCCAGCGAGGGGCAATGCTACCCAGTGGGAAATGGGGGTCACTCACATCAGCAGCCGGTCCAGGTAGGAAACGGCGTACGGGGAGAGGGACTTGATGCCGAGCACCGGGAGCATCACATTGAGCCACACTGTGGGGAGAGGTGGGAGGGGTCCAGCTGGGCTGTCCCTGCACCAGGACAACCCACCCAAACCACCCGGCGGAAGCGCAGGCAGATCCCTCGGGAAGGGCTCCAGGGAAGCTGAGCTGCAGGGGAACAGTGGAGCAGCACAACCCCCGCCCTTCCAAGCAGGATGGCTCCTCCCAGGATCCAGCCATTCCCTGCCCCGGCCACAGGAAGCTGCTCTTCGGATCTTAAAGGTCTTTCCCAACCTTTTCCCACCCCAGAGCAGTACTGCCAGCGGGAGCAGAGATGCCCTGGCAGTGCCAGGGAGGGGGCTCTCACCTTTCAGGCCCTCGTGGAGGTCAGTGAACCCGGCCTGTCCCAGCGCCCAGAGCACGGTCAGGCACTTGGCCGGCCGGTTCTGGTGGGAGCGCAGCACCTCCAGGTACTGCAGGAGGATGGGACATGTTAGTGGGGAAGAACCACAGCCCACCCCACCCCAGCGAGCCCAGAGCCACCAGGCCATGGGACTGTGGTGGCTACCCCAGGCCCTGGAGCAGCCTCCAGAGCAGGGCAGGGCCCTTGGGATGGACTCACAGCTCCAGTGAGGCCAGGAACCACACTGGGGGGACAGAGGGAACCCCAAAACCCAGCCCAGGGGGTGCAGGCCTGTTGAGGAGGGCAGGCAGAACGCACTGGGATGCCGGTCCCTCTGCGTGGGGAGGACAGGGAGGCAGAAGGGCTTCGTGCATAGGACAACCCTGACCACTCCCAAAGGAATTCCCATGGACAGGGATGCTCATCCTCCAGCTGCTCCAGGGCACCCCCAGGGTGGGAGGAGGAGCAGCAACACTGGGTTTGCAGCACCCACAAACCCGGGTGACCCCAGCTCACCTTGCCCAGGTTGGCGGTGGCAATCCGGGGCCTGTCCAGGAGCAGTGCCTGGATGCAGATCCTGTATCCATGCAGTGACTCCCCTGGAATGGAGAGGGGGGTCCTGCTCAGCCATGGCCACCTTGGGGCTCTCCCTCACAGCCCCCAGTCCGGGCACTTCCCAGGGCTCGTTTTCCCCCATGCTCCCTAGGAGATCAACCTGGTGACAGCCAAGCCTCTTCCCCAGGGACATCCCAACACAGCTCCCAAAGCAAAGCCCCACCTTGCCTGTTCCCTAAGGACTGTTTCTTGGTATTCCTGATGCCCTGGACAGCAACGAGCCCCCGGGCAGGAACAGCCCCTCACCACACACCAGTGGGCAGGAGGTGTGTCACCCCTCCCCTTCTCCAGGGAGCAATTCCAAAGAGCTTCCAAACAGGCGAGGGGGATCAGCAGCCCCCAGAGTCAGAAGAGGGAGCCCGGTGCTCACCCGGGGCCTTGTCCAGCTCCTGCAGCATGGTGTAGATGCAGTGGTCGAAGAAGAGCTCCAGCACTCCCGACGCCCTTCCCAGCAGGGTCCGGATGATGCTCCTCAGCTCCTTGCTCGCCAGGCTGTATGGATAGTCTGGGGTGAGATGAGGGAGGGAGGAAGGAGTTTGGTGAGACCCCGTTTTGGGGAGTTCCAGCAGCTGGAGGAGCCGGCCCGGCGCGAGGTGGGCACAGGGAGCGCCTCGTCCTCAACCCCCGGCAGCACCCGGCTCCTCCTCAGAGATTTTGGTCCAGAGGAAGCTAATCCAGCCCTGAGGGATGGCTTCCCGTTAGACACCAGCAGTGCAGGACGGACACGGGCCTGAAGAAGGTATTTTGCTCCTTTCCCCCTCCCCATCCCGAGCAGCACACGCTCAGCGCGAGTGGGGACCACCAGGCCACGAGGGACAGGGACATCCAGCCCCAACATCCCTCTGGACACCCACAAGTGGATCCCCAGAGTCCACGGCAGCAGGCAGAGGTCAGGGGTCCCCACGGGGAAGGGGTGACTGGGGAAGCCTCCCGTTTGCCAAGGGCACAGGCAGTTCCACTGTGTGTGTGGCCAAGGGGAGCTCATTGTGGGGACAGCCCAGAAGGAAGCAAATCCTCCCTGTTCCGCTAATTAAGGACTGCGGCCCCTCCCCTTCCCGGCCGGCAGCAGGACACAGGACACAGGACACAGGACACGGACCGTGGGGGTGCTGGCTCAGCACGGGGTCGCTCTGGGGCGCCTGCAGCTTGTAGTTGAGGTACCCGGCCAGGTCCTTCACCCACACGGAGGGGTTCTCGGGGAACACGCTCCGGCTCTTCTCCAGCTCCTTCTGCAGATCTGCCAGGTCCAGCTGGAAGGGACAGACGGACAAAGTCAGCCCGGGACGGACGGAATTGGGCAAAAAGCAGAGGAAGGGAAAGTCAACTCTGGTTCCTATGGGAGTGTGGGGCCTCCATCCTGGGAACAACGCCCTTCCTGCTTGGAAAACCCCAGTTGCTGGGGCTCCCAAGGATCACACTGGGCAGTCGGCTCTGTGCCAGTGCCAAGGAGCCCGTTGGCACGTGATGGCACACACCAGCACTGCCAAGGGCTCACTCACAGCTGCAGCTGGGCAAGGATCAGCCTGGGGTGATCCTGGACACGGCTGGTCCGAGTGGGCACTGCCAAAAGCTCCGCGCCCAGAGTCCTCCAGGGAGGAAACAACCACGAGCACCCAGATCCACCCGATGGACAACATGGCAGTGCCAAACCAGGAGTGCAGCAGCAGCAGCTCCTGTCCCCTCCAGCCCCCCCTGCTACCCAGACACGCTCACTCCCTGCTCGTACACCGGATTATCCGCGGGCTCAGAGGAGCGGATCTGTCAGGGATGTGTCAGGGCATGCCGCAGGGCTCGGACTCTGGGTGAGGTTTTCCAGAGCCCAACGTTCCCTGTGAGCAGATTCCCACTGCCAGGGCTTGGCAGAGTGACCTGGGCGCCCCCGGGCAGGTTTGGCTCAGCCCCACCTTTCAGAAGGAATTTGACACAAACCAGCTGCTGCCACGGCAGGAAACAAACCCCAAAACCCCCTTCAGTGACCTGGCAGAGCCACGTGGTGTCTCACACCCTGAGCACCAGGACAGCCCTGGCTCTGCTGCCCTCCCAGGGAACAAGGGAACCATGCAGGGTCCTGCGCCCACCACCAGCACTCTGGGGGACAGAGGGAACCCCCGTGCAGGGGGGAGCAGAAGTCCCAGGATGGCAGGGGAGAAGCCCAGTGGGCTGTGGAGGGCCCTGCCAGGCGCTGTCCCCACGACATGTCACCCCAATACAGCCCATCTGGGGTCAGTTCTGGAGCCTGCTGTGCTCAAGACAAGTGGGACAGACATTGACAAGGTTCCCAGACCCAGCCAGAGCGAAGGAGCTGCCAGAGCAGCTCCCAGGGCCCACCGGTGAGACAGGGAGGATGTTCCAGCCACCACGAGGCTTCCTCAGGGTTCCTCCCAGACACAGACAGGGAGTGGGTGAGAAGTGGAACCAGAAATTCCCTTCCAGCCGCCTCCCGCCGCTCTGTCTCCTGCCTCCAGCACGAGGCAGCTCCTCCCAGCTGGCCCAAGAGGGGACGAGCCCATGCCCATGCATGAACCCATGCAGGGCCCTGTGCTCCCTGTGCCCCCTCCTGCCGGATCGAATGGCACCCAGGGGAGCCCGAACACGGGCCGGGAACAGTGGCCCCTGGCATTCCAGCGGGTCAGGGCCCGGCTGGGCACACTCACAGCTCGCAGGGCCTCCTCCAGCGAGCGGCTCCTGCCCGCCTTGGTGCTGGTGGCATTGCCCGACGGCTTCTTCCCGCTCTTCCCCGGGTGCTGCTTCCGCTGCGGCGGCTCCGGGGCCGCAGCCGGGGGCACCTGCTCCTTGTTCTGCTTCCGCAGCGCCCGCTCGAAGCCCAGCTGGAAGATGGTGCTGGAGGTGGCGATGGGAGCTGGGGGCAGGAGAGGGCAGAGGTGGCTGAGGGCACGGTGACACGGGGGTAGAGGGACCCCGGCACGACGGACAGACGGGGGGACCCCCACGCACGGCCCCGCGCTGCCCACGGGGGCAGGGGCCCACGGCCGGGTCCGCAGCATCTCCCGAGACCCCACCGCCCCAGCGGACACCCCCGGACCTCTGGGGGACCCTCGTCTGACCCACGTGAAACCAGCCAACCCCGGCAGAACCACGGGGAACCCCCTGCGTTCCCCCCGAGACCGCCCAGCAT